ATCTATGACGAATGTGTATGGCCCATCATGCTGCAGTAACTTGGAGGACAGGAGATGAGGAGACTATAGGCTCTGAGGCTTAACAACTCCACAATGAAACAGATTCAGAAATCTAGCACACTACTTGTTCTACTAGAATCAGACACTTCAACCTCTAATTTTATTGCAGTGCATCAAAAAATTTCAATGCTGCAGATTTAATAATGGACAGATAAAGATAATATGTGAGAGAGCCTCATTAAGGCTAATAAGAACACAACTTTTAGTTTTGGTACAGGAAGACAGGGTATGGGATAGGATTTTTCTGCTAGTTATTAGAAAATGTACTACAGAGACAGTCCCTATCCCCCTGGCTCCCTGTCAGTGATTTTGAACTTCATCACAGTGATCTGAGGTACCGTAATTGAAAAAAATACTTTGAAAGAGATTTTTGTTGAGGATTTTGACGATACAGTATCTCCAAATATTGCCACTTTTAGCAAGAAATCATTGTATCTAAATCTAGAAAAGGACATTATTCATTGTCCATACATTTTTTCATTCAAAAAATGAGGTGAAATATATCACCTAAATGGATTGGAGTCATGAGAACAATGAAATCTCTTCCTAGTCTCAAGACTGGTATATTAAGATTTCTTCCTTTCCCTTTTTTTCTCCACTTTTTTTTTTTCTTTCAAGCACTTAAGTTCAGAAGAAAATAAGGATTTAAATTTTTATTAATAAGTGCTGATTTTTCAGTTACATACATAACTTGATTTTCACCTCCTGTTTATTCTTTTCTCCTATTACATCTTTAAGTGTACACATTGTGAAATGCTTTCCTGTGATATTCCTACCCTTTCTGATTTGCTGTTCCTGAAGTGTTTCACCTTCAGTGTTTCTTTCCTCCTTCCTCTTCTACCATAATTTTCAAGTGTTACGAGAATAATCTGAGTTTTAACTGAGACTGCCTAGGAGCACAAGTACTTCATAAGATGCATGAAGAAACCATCCTGTCCCAAACAGTTTACAAACCTAAGGCTCTCATCTCACACTGAAGCCTGGATAGGCAGATCGTAAAGGAAACAGAGTCTACTATAGGTGAAAAGGCCTGCTTCCACAGAACAACTTGACAAGTAGATGTCCTAAAAGAACAAGTGAAACATGAAAGCTGACTGGAGGAAGGTTACAGTCCAATGC